CCAACCTTGAGGGCAAGGTTGTGCTCAAGGAGGGAGGGATGTTACGAGATCGGGCCATCGTAGCATTTCGTAGGAGACTGGGCTTGCGTATCTTTAGTATTTTATTATTATTACATTATTAGTCTTTTTTTATTATATTGTCTTTATTATTGTTTTCCTTGTTCGTATAGGATTTGGTTATTGTTGGTAATATCCTTAGAGGTTTAGGAGTCATAATCTAGATAGGTAAGGGTAGAGGCTTGGTGCCTATAAATATGTACTTGTTTCGTTCGTTTAATGATAAGAAGATTGGAACCCAATAGTTAGCTTTTGTTCTTAGTTTGCTATTTCCTTAGTTATTTCCTTTGAGAGTTCTTGCGTTTTATTCTCTTTTGCGAGAAAACCCTAAAAACGCCATCCCCCTACGTCACATCACCGTAACAGAACATAGGCGTAAGCGGATTTGAAGTCTTTCTTTAATGGGTGTCAAGGATGGACACAGATGGGAGCGAGGCAGATTGGTACCTCGTCATTCCGCCTCCGCCAGAATTCATTTGCTTCTGGTTCGATTGATGCTGGTGGTGAAGATGCTAAAGATCTGGCTCCATCGAGAACATAAGAAGAAGAATTGAAAGGAGAAGAAGGGATAAAAAATAGGGATGGAATTTTGGTACCGATATTTGGGATATACTAAATTTATCACTATTTGCTATTCTCAAACACCGGCTTATTTTTTAGGGATTGGTATAGGGTAAACCCGCACCCGACCCTACCCATTGCCATCCCTAGCAGCAGCGGGAAGAATGGATGAACCCTTATGAAAGTGAAGTAGAGAGAGATACAACTTCTCGGACTGAAAACTGCAACTGCCGGAGTTGATATCGCCGGGGAATCGATCTTCCGTCCAGATCCCTAGCAGACGCCTTTATTCCGATCACGCTTGCTCTGGTTCTCTGATGTAAATCACTTTTTCAATTTTTAACTATAATAATTTTTTTTTATTAATTTTACTTTATTGTGAAAATGAGTTGGAAATGGTAGAAGATTAGAATTTATTTTTATTTATTATTTTTTTTAATTGCCATGTTACTGAGTTAATGGTCAACTTTGAAGATTGACTGCCACATCAGACAAATTTAATGGAGTTGGACGGAGAGTGAACAAACTTGAATAATTTAATTGGATTTAACGTTTTTTATAATCTCGGTGACCAACCATACCATTAACTCAATAAATGCGATAGTGGCTTAATTCTAAAAAGCCTTTTTATTAATTTTATAGATCATATAATATGCGTCTTTGACTCTTTGTTAACTCATCATAATCTCTGGCAAAAAAGAAAATTATAAAAAAACTCATCGTAAAACAAACAATCTACACATAATATAATACACCGAAGGGGAAAACGGGAGCCTCATTTCAAATTTCCTGCAACGAGAGCGAAAGTAGGAAGGAAATTTTGGTCTTCACAATTACGTTTTTTTATTCATTAAAAAGACAAGTACGGGGATTCGAACAATGACCATTTTAAAGAAAAGCAAGGATCATAACCAATCACACTAATTACATTTATTGTATTTTTTAAAATTAAAAACGTATAATTTTAGGAAGGAAAAAACTCTTCCCCCATTTCAAATTCCCTGCTCCAGAGCGTTTGTAGGAAGGTTAGAATAGGGAGTGTCAATTTTTTTCTCTTTCCTCTGTGGAACGGGCTAACTTACCGTACAATGCGGATTTAAAAGGGTCCAGGAGTGTCAATTTTTTTCTTTAAACCCTTTTATTTCTCCCTGATGATAAAATATATATGAAAAGGCAAAAACAATACTCCTTTTTATTGCTAAAAATAAAAAATTTAACAATAAACTAATGCATGGTATCTAATGGGCTAACCGCTAACCATAAAATAAAAGAGTTGAATGAGTCTGACCTACACAGGATTTGGCCATCAAGTAAAACAAATGAACATCATTGGTTTGTCATTCTAAAACAAGCTATTTTCTCTAGCATAATATATATTATGCTATTATTTTATATCTTAGTGGCTAAGATATAATGTATTTTAAAGTTATTCAATGGTTCAACCTCGACCAACCCAATTTAGTCCAATTTTTATCATTTCAAATATATATTATACAATTATTTGATATCATATTGAGCAAATTATAATGTATTTTATAGGGAATCGTTTGGTATTTGTTAGTAAAAAACTAAACAGAACGATCTATTTGGTTATTTTAAACATTAAAACGATCCTAAACATTTTCAGTTCCTTTTGAATTTTTATGGTTTTATTCTCGAATAAGTGATGTGCAAATGGCGAATTGCAGTCATCTCTTTTCTTTCACTATTTTTTTATTTTCAAATAGAAAGTTTAAAAGTAAAGAATAACTAGAATTTGGCATGGGTCGGTCAAACATGCTGAATTTCAAGTTTTGGCCCGTTTTGATCAAGTCCAATTTATAATCACATGGTTCTCTGATACCCGATAAAAATCTCAATCCAAACCAGTTTGGCAGGTGAGTCTGTGTTTACCACCATTTTCTAGGGATACGACAACGGCGGTTCCTATCCCAAATCGTGTTGTTCGTTCTTGATTTCCTTAGATTTTATCATGGCCTAACAAAACCAGAAAGCACAATGACGACAAGATGAAAGTTTTATAAAGCAGATTAATCGACCAACGGGCCGAGTAAAAGCTAGCAACGATTGTGAGATGCTCATTTCACGAAAACCGACGGGATAGGCGATTTTTTATTCGATTTTCTGGAATTTGGTTTCTATAAAACTTACTCCACCTCATCATATTACCAAAAACAATATTGTTTCACAAGGTAACATGTACTTGATTTTGGTTCATAAGGCCGATTTTTTATTCATTGCATCATTCATGTCTCTTTCCTGCTAAAATTCACTATTTTTATCACGAATTTGCCAAAAAAATTTATACAACAATAAGTTATACACCCCATTATATTATCAAATTTCATACCTCACCTTCCTCCGGCTAACTGACCGGAGCCCACACTAGTTAAACTATCTATGACAAAAAAAATTATATTATTAATAGCACAAGTTACTTTTACATATTTTTACTGTTCCATTCGAAAAAATAGCAAAAACCACATTGTTACAAAAAATTAAGTTTAGTTACTGTTCACTTGGGAATTAATCACCTAAGCGCTGCTCCATGATATTCCCTTCCGTAATTAAGGTTCCCCAGGTATTTTGCCAACCTACTACTTTTTTACCTTTTCTCTCTAACAATTTGCTTTGTTCTTTTAGTTCACAAATCTTGGCGGGTATTGGCAAAGAAGGGAAGAAGACATATATTTTCAGCTTCTTTTTTATAAAAAGAAAACCAAAAACACAAAAATAAATATTTAACAATGAACTATATTACCGATAAATATAATTTTCTATTATATTATTAGACCAAATATTACGAAATATTTATATAAAACCATTCTATAACAATTATGTAAATTAAAATTAAAAATTCATGAATGTAATTTACTATAACGTGATTTTATTATTAGACCATACATTATGAAAAATTTAAGTAATAACTATCTATAATTGTTACATGTGATTTTTTTTCCTCAACGGATACTGGAGTTTTATCACATATACCCAAATTTACCATAATCCCATTCTCTCTTTTTAAACATACTATTCATATGAGTTTTATCTCCTACAACCAATTCTATGATAAGCCTAAAGTTTATATGAAATTCTACGATAAATTATTAACTGAAACTCCTTTACTTTCGATGTTTATTACTAAATAACATGTTATTTTCTAAAATTTGATTTTATCATTAGATCACACATTATCAAAGATTTATGTAATAATATTCTATAATATTTCTTTATCTCATACATCTAATTTTATCATAAGTTCTTGATTATTTAATTTTGGCATAACAATTTAATCATATGTTACTTTCGTGTTACTTTCTATCACAACACATTATGAAATGAAATATTTACGTAAAAAAATTATATGAAAGTTACATAAATTAAAATTTCATAAATGTTACTTACTATAACGTGATTTTATTATTATACCAAACATTATGAAAAAATTATCTAATAACTCTCTATAATTGTTATATGCGTTTTCCTTAATGATTAAGACACTACTAGGGATGGCAAAAATATCCGTAACCGTGGATATCCGCCCGAATCCGGCCTAATCGGGTAGGGTAAAACCCGAACCCGAAGGACATTTAGTGGGTACGGGTAAAACCCGAACCCGAATATTGCGGGTAATGGATGGGCATGGGTTTCTAACTATCCAACCCGAACCCGCCCGACTATATGCATGCATATGTATTTTGTCTAGAAATAATTATTATTTTTCTCTAACATATTTTATATTTAGCATATAAATATAATATTTTCATGAAATTGTGTTGTTTTAGTTAATTTTCTTCATTCTAGTGAACTATTGTCGTACTTTTTTTTTACGTAATGTGAGAACACGTGTGAATGTTAACATATTGGTTGGAGTTATGAAGAGAAATTATTATCCATGGATAACCGTGGATACCCGAAACCCGAACGGGTATGGGCATGGTTTTAATTTTCTACCCATTTCACATGTGGGTATGGGTATGGGTAAAACCCGAACTACTTTGGGTAGGGTAACGGATATACACTATCCGTCCCCGACCCGACCCATTGCCATCCCTAGACACTACGTAAAGTTTATGAACAAATAATCATTATATCTATATCAATTTAAAAAAATATGTAAGTTTTATATAATGACTAAACACTACGTAAATCTTACGTTGAAATAGTTATTTACTATGTATCGCTTAAACACAAGGATGACTATGTTATTCGTAATGATTAAGACATCACGTGAAACTTGCATATGTCTATTATCTGAATAATTTTGTAAATTATTTGATTTAAACTAAATCATTAGTTTCATACCGCGGCGGAGCGCGGGCCAAAAAACTAGTACAATTAAACAACGGGAAGTCAGGAACTGTGACGCTACGGCTACGTAGAGAAAATCGGATGCGCAAACCACTAGTCAAGAAAGCACTCCAAGCGTGAGCGAGAGAAAAGAGAAGAGGACACCAAGGGGCCTCCAATGAGATAGCGCCACGTCAAAAATACCCTACCGGAAAAAGCCATTTCTTCATTTCTCCATTTCATCAAGTGACAGAGACAGACGAAAGAAAACTGCTCTGTATCAGTATCAACTATCAACCCATCAGACGCAACGCAGCAGCGCAACAATGGCTGCCCGATATAGAAAATCAGTGCTCAACAGCTCTTGATCTCTCACCCCCCTGCTTGAACTGATTAACCCACCCTTCATCTGCTTCTGGTTGTTCTTCTCTCTCGCTCGCCGCCGGTAATCGTTGCCCAGGTCAGTGTCTCCTCTTAACCAACACCTACAGCTGTGGCTCACCGTTTGGATTCTCCCTTCTTACTGGGTTTTTTTTTAGGTTTTCATTCAATCTCCATTTCTCTTCTCCTCAGGGGGTTTGGTTAGGGTTTTCTAGTCATGGGCTCAGTTGCCGGCAGTAAATGGGACGACGACGACGACGGCGAGTATTCCGTCATCGGGGACAAAGGCGAAATCGGGTTCATCGATTACCAGGAAGACAGATCCGTCCTCAATTACGACCCAACGGAGGAAGGCCCCGTCGTGATCTCCGTCCCGTTCCCCATGCACGACGGGAAGCCGCAGTCGGTCTCCGTCGGAGAAACAGCCGCCGCTCCCATCACCATTCGGAACACCACCGACGAAGCCGTCGAGCTGTGGACCAAAATCTACGCCTCCACGCCGGTGGATTCCTTCCAGCTCTCCCTGATGGAGCCGCCGCCTCCCTCCGCCGGAAATGTTGCTGCCGGCGGATTCCTAGGGTGTTTTGCTATGGAGGACAGAATGATCCAGCCCGGCGAGACGCTGAAATTGTGGCTGTCCTGTAAACCGCAGGAGATCGGAATGTACACCTCCGTCGTCCATTTCGACGTGTCCGGCGACAGGATTGAGAGGGTGGCCTTCATCCTGGCCGAGGATAAGATATCCCAGTCCTTGGCTTCCAGGAAGCCATACTCGAGAACTGTGAAGAAGAATCACTACGCCGTCACTGAATTCGTCAAGGGCACGAATCCTAGGAGAGCTGCGGGCAGGCCGGTGAAGAAGAGGCTTCCCAGGTACGAGATTCCAAAGGAGATGAGAGAAAAGATTGAGAACAAGGAGATACCTGAAGAGGTCACCTCAGGTCTAAGTAGAGAGAACTATGCTGAGTACTTCAAGACACTGTTGATCATGGAAGAAATACAGTTGGAGGTAACTAAACTAGTCTGTGTGGTGAATGTATTTGGTTGTTCGACTGGATGGATTTCGTTCTGAGTTGAAGCTGTAATGCTTTTGTTGGTTGGTTTCAGGAGGATATGAGGGCTTACGATATGGAGCGGGTTGTAATGAAGAAGAGAGGGAGCTTTCTTTCGCTCGTGGTGCCAGGGCTCGCTGAGCGAAGGCCTTCTCTCGTCCATGGAGATTATATCTTCGCAAAGCCTGCACATTCAGATGAATCCATTGTCCCTTATCAGGTCTGGTGCCAGTATATGTATGCTTGCTGTTAACAGTCTTGATCAGTAAAATTGTCAAATGTTTGTCCATGGCTGGCTTATGTGAAATAGCTCGTTGACACGAATGGTGGCATTCTCTGCAGGGATATGTACACCGAGTCCAGGCTGATGAAGTGTATTTGCAGTTCAACCCACAGTTTCACTTGAGCCACTTGGATGGGAATCTATATGATGTGCACTTCACTTACAACAGAGTCAATATCAGGAGACAGTATCAAGCCATTGATTCAGCTCGAGATTTGGAAACCGAGTTCCTATTCCCATCTGAGGCCCTTGAACATAGGCTTATTCAACCACAGTCTCTGATCCCTATAGCAAGAAATATCAACGAGGAGCAGAAGTCTTCAATAGAGATGATTCTCGGGTGTACAGGAGGTCCTCCATATGTCATTCATGGTCCGCCAGGTACAGGCAAAACCATGACTATAGTGGAAGCGATACTTCAGCTTTATAGAAGCAGGAGAAGTGCTCGGATTCTTGTGTGTGCACCGTCAAACAGTGCAGCAGACCATTTGCTGGATAAGCTTCTCTCCCAGGAGGCTTTTAGTGTTCGTGAGAACGAGATATTTCGCCTGAATGCAACAGCCCGTTCGTTTGATGAGATTAAACAAGATCACATACGGTTTTGTTTTTTTGATGACCATGTCTTCAAGTGTCCTCCATTTGGTGCCCTCTCTCGGTACAGGATCATCATATCGACATATATGAGTGCTAGCCTTCTTTATTCTGAAGGGATTAATCGAGGTCATTTCTCCCACATTTTCTTGGATGAGGCGGGGCAAGCTTCAGAACCAGAGAGCATGATTCCAATTTCCAACCTTTGCCAGAAAGACACGGTTGTTGTTCTGGCTGGAGATCCGATGCAATTGGGTCCGGTGATACTCTCCCGAGATGCTGAATCATTTGGACTTGCCAAGTCATACTTGGAGAGGCTTTTCGAATGTGAATCTTATTTAGGAGATGAAAACTATGTGACGAAGCTTGTTAGGAACTACCGCTGCCATCCAGAAATTCTGTATCTGCCTTCAAAGCTATTTTACAATGGAGAGTTGGTGGCTTGCAAAGATTCTACTGAAAGTTCGACTTCTTTGCTAAAACTGCTGAATTTCATCCCCGGCAATGAGTTTCCTACAATCTTCTTTGGTATTCAAGGGCTTGATGAAAGGGAAGGAAGTAATCCATCATGGTTCAATCGAATTGAAGCAAGCAAGGTAGTTGAGGTGATCAGGAAGCTGACGACTTGTGGAAATCTGAATGAGGGTGACATTGGAGTTATTACCCCTTATAGGCAGCAAGTTACCAAGATAAAGAAGGTCCTGGATGACTTGGACATGACAGACATCAAGGTTGGAAGCGTTGAACAGTTTCAGGGGCAGGAAAAGCAAGTCATTATAGTGTCTACTGTTCGATCGACGATTGTGCACAATGAGTTTGACAAAGTCCACTATTTGGGATTCTTGAGTAATCCAAGGAGGTTCAACGTTGCAATAACCCGTGCTATATCTTTACTTATCCTTATTGGAAACCCACATATCATCAGCAAGGTACTTTCCCTGAATTTTTGGGCCATTCATGAATCATTGACCATAATGCAAGATGCATGGGTGACCTGATTATTTTTTGCTTCTGGGTACATCAACATCCTGAACTTTGGTACTATCTGGTTTTCCCTTGTATAATCTTGACGTGTTAATATGCGGAGAATGCTGTGCCCTTTCGGTTCTAGATATGGTTTAGTTAATCTGGAATGTGCCGAGGTTACAACTGTTGGTAAGTGAAACTATGAATCTATTGTTGCAGGATGAGTACTGGAATATGCTCTTATGGCGCTGCTCAGACCATGAGTCTTACAAAGGCTGTGCTCTTCCAGAAAGGCAGGATCACAGCGATGGGTATGGAGTGCAGGAGAATGGTGGTGACTATGGTGAAAGAAACAGCCATCTGGCCTCTGGAGAAGAAGGTGAATGGGGTCAAGACTCATTATCACAGGCTAGTACTCGAGCAGCAGATGTAGGTGCATGGGTTCAAGACTCGTATCAGGCCAATGCTCAAGTTCCTGGGACTGATGAAGCTGAATGGTCCGACGGTTGGAAGTAGTCAAGTAAAATGTGTTCTAATCTATGTTCTTAGGGCAGTAAACTACCTCTAGCTCTACTCAGAATCCTCAGATGTCTTTTTGTCAATTCCCCTAGTAAGTATGCACTCAGTGCCATTCACATGGCAAATCACTAGAACTTGTGGAAATTTATTCAGCATTGTCGAGTTGATCCAAAGAATGTCCAGACCTTTATTAGCAAAAGAGTATGTGAAACATACAGATGATGCAAAACTCATTGGCATAGTACTTATTCAGCCTCATGATATATGCAATGATCAGGAAATGAAACAACAGGAAGTAGTAGCTATGCACTGCAGAGATTACATGTCAACAAAGTGGCACCAAATGTCAAGAAACAGACGGGATAAACTCATCTGGTAGAGCATTAGATGAGTGATAGTAGAATCAGAAGGGCTGCTGCTACCTGGAGAAACCAAGTCTTGCTGGAGCCAACATCTGCAGCCATTGAATAATCCGGTTCTGTTGAACAATCTGTAGCCAGGACTGGAGGAGGACTAGCTGCAGTGGATGATGGAGGGGGACGTTTGCCAGATTGAGCAGGTTGGGCCATTGGTGGAGCAGGTGGCGCCATTGGAGGAGCAGGTGGCGCCATTGGAGGATGTGTCACATTGTGAAGAACTGCAGGAAATTCGATCAGATGCTACTATACTATCGTCTGAAGCCAACAATTACTATATAGACATGGAAGAACCAAGAACATAAATTTCTTCTGTACCAGATATAATAGGAACTCGAGCAGATTCAGTGGGTGGACTTGATGCAGCAGATGTATCATTATCATAACCTGCAAAAGTATTGCGTAAATTATGATACCCAAAAATAGGCTAATCGGTGAAATCTGTATGCTAAACTCAGAACGTGAATTACTTTACCAGAATCAGATGATCTCGGCGCCCCTAGTGAACCATGCGAGCTGGGAACAGGAGGCAAAGCTGCACAAAACACGAACAATTCCCCTTCTCTCAATTGTCAAAGATCTAAGGAGGTGAAACGACTGCGCTACTCATGCCGCCATTAACTAGCTTGCGCTCAACTCGGCGTTTCTTCCATGGCGCGAAAATCACAAGATTTCGGGGGCCAATTTCCCCTTTCTAGAAACAACCACGATTTCGTTCCCAGGATCAAGCAATTGCAAATTCAGCTACATCGCTACGCTATTCAGAATCAAGAAATCGCGACTTTAGAAACAGAAATTGCGAATTCAGCTACTGATCCTCATCGCTAGTTCGCTACGCTATTCAGAATCAAGAACTTGCGAATGGAGCTACTGATCATCGCTACGCTAATTCAGATCCATATCTCCGGTTCAATACTCGATTAAAGAAACGGTTTCCGAGAAACGAACCTGAACAGATCGACTCCAGAGAAGAGTCTAGGTTCGCCACGGCGGCGGAGCTCGCGTTCGCGCGACGCCTGGAGCAGAGAGCAGGGAGGGACGCGATCCTGGTTCGGTTCAGCGGGAATCCAAACAGCAGCGGCTGCTTCACCAGGTGACAGTAGCAGTTGCTGCCGCCGGTACCGAACGACTCCAGGACGACGTTGCAGCACTTCGAGGAGAGCCGGTGGCGGACTCTGTTCGGCGGCGCGGAGACGAAGCCGAAGCACGGCGAGAAAGCCACCAGGTCGGTGACGCAGTCTTCCGCCAGCGGGGTGTACGGAGGAGCAACCGCGGCGGCGGCGTTGGCGGCGAGGAGTAGCAGCGCCGAGACGAGAATCCGCGCAAAGCCGGTAGTCATCTTGAGAGAGAAACACAGAGAGAGAGAGAGGGAAATTCTGTTTCTGACTTTCTGGTGAGTAGCGACTCTGACTCTCTGAGTCACTCCGGTTTGTTACTGATGACTCGCCGGCGAGATCTTTTATAGCGAGAACAGAAGGCGGGAAAATGCCAGAAGTTTGTTGGGCCCGAACGCTGCCGTTTTGGGAAGAATTGTCTCTGTTTCTTGCCCAATATTAGAGAACGCAGAGGAAGAGATCAGAGGACAGAGGCAGCAAAGCAACCTTTTTGTATTAAACCCACTAATCAATCAAAACAGGTAAAATTTTCATTATTCTAATACAACTTAGAACAGGAAATCAAATGCATAACAGAGGTTAACACCTTAATTACTAACCAATTTACTTCATTAATCTAATCCTATTTTGTTTTCTCCCTTTTCTTCTTCTAAACACTTACAGTCTTACACCGCCGATTTCCCATCTCTCTCTGTTCCTTCACCGGCGACAATCTTCTTCCAGAACCAGTGATTCTCCCACAGGAGGTAAACCTCCTCGATCGGAACCTGCTTCGTCTCCGGCAACAAGAAGTAGACGAAAGCGCTCATGATCACCACCAACCCACCAAACAGCAAGAAGATCCCGTACTGGAGATGGCACAACGACACCAGGAAGCACTGCGCTATTAGAGCTGTGAACACCATGTTCACGCACACCACCATGCTCTGTCCCGCTGATCTCGTCTCCAATGGGAAGATCTCGCTCGGCACCAGCCACCCGAGCGGTCCCCACGACCTCCCGTAGGCGAGCACGAACAAGCAGATCACTATCACCAGAAATATCCCCAGCCCCTTTGGCAGCATCGCTCCCTGCCCGAATTTTGCCGCCAGCGTTGCCGCCACTATTATCTGCAAAACAGAGCATTTGAAGAAAATTTGAACGGAAACAGAGCATTTTCTTAACAAAACAGGGGAAGTTGATAAATTTATCTACAAAACAGAGCATTTGAAGAAAAGTTGAACAGAAACAGAGCATTTTCTCAACAAAACCGGGGAAGTTGATAAATTTATCTGCAAAACAGAGCATTTGAAGAAAGCTTGAACGAAAAAAACAGAGCATTTTCTTAACAAAAACAGGGGAAGTTGATAAATTTACATTACCATGTAGCAAATCATTTCGGCGCCAGCCTCGAGGAAGAAAGCTCTCCTTCCGAACTTATCCACGAGACCCATCGATATGAGAGCGCCGAGGCAGAGCGCCACGCTGGTGATAACAGAGGAGTACAGAGCCGCGGCAGAGCCAAACCCTAGGCTCTGAAACATGACCGGAGCGTAGAACAGGATGGAGTTCATACCCGTGAGCTGCTGAAACGCCGGGATTCCAATAGCTCCGATGACCAATTGGGGGCGATTCTTCCTCATCATCAAGTTTCGAAACGGATGGGTGACCGCCCTGGCGGCTTCGCTGGCTTCTCTGAGATCGTCGAATTCGGCACCGACGTTCGTCGTGCCTCTGACCTTTTCGAGCACCTTTCTTCCTTCTTCGTATCTGCCCTGTTCCACGAGGCTGTTGGGGGTCTCCGGGAGGATGATCCCGCCGATGAACATAAGGACCGCCGGGACGGTGGCGAGGCCGAGCGAGAGGCGCCACCCCCATGGATGGAGCCTCTCGGTGCCGTAGTTGATGAGGTTGGCGACGAGGATTCCCAAACAGGTTGTGAGCTGGAAGAGCTGGTTGGCTGCTCCTCGGACCTTGGCCGGCGCCATTTCTGATAAGTAAAGTGGAACTGCCTGGCAGAGTGGGGGAAAACAAAAACAGAGTTATGAAGTGGGAAAAGAAGAAAGTAAGTATCAATCTGTCAATTTAGCTTACTTGGTTGCCGAATCCGATGCCGAAACCGAGCAGGATTCGGCCGAAGATGAGCATGACTATATTGACGGCACCGGCGTTGAGGATGGCTCCGAGGAAGAAGCTGATGGAGCCGACGACGATGCTGGCCTTGCGGCCGCGTGTTCTGGTGACGTGGGAGGCGGCGAATGTGGAGAGGAGAGCGGAGAAGTAGAGGGAGGAAGTGAAGAGGGTGAGGAGCTGGTTGTCATACTTGCAGTAATCGGTCTCGTGGAGATGTGCCTGTTTCCTTGTGTACACGTCGGGGAAGAACTCCTTCAAGAAATCGTCCATGGAAGTCACTCCCCCTTGCACACCAAATGGACACTTTTTCTTTTCAATTTTCATTGGAAAAATATTGAATCCACATTGTTACTTGAACAATTTTGACCACCTACTCAATTTTTTTAACCTTAAAGAGATTCCAACTTGATTCATCACACATCTTAGTATGATCTTAAGTGAAATATATCATGTTTGTGATTGGTGACACCATTAAGTCACATCTATAATCTTTACCATTAAGTCACACCTATCCGATTCGGAGTCCGATTTCGTATGAGAAATAGAGAACTGGGTATGGTGTATTTCATTCTCTAATTCTCTCGATTCAATCATGAAATGCAGATTGATGTTTCAAACAAGAAGAAACAAACTCAAAACTCAAGGAACAAAAACAGAGGAGAGAGCAGAGTGGCTTGAATTCTCACCGGATACGCCGAGATCGTAGCCGAAAAGGGAACCGCCAAGAGCACCAATGACACAGGTGAAGATGAAATAACCAGTGATTCTGTACTCATAGAGATGAGCCCTCTTGAGATTCTCCCCCGAGTCTCCAAATCCACCACCCGCCATGCCCTCTGTTTCGGACGAACGAATGAAAGAATGGATCTCTTTCTCCTAAGCTCCTGTGGCCTGAGCTGGTAGATTTATTTATCACGGAGTTACGTTGGGTTAAAAAAGTGGGAGAAGATGACACGAAAGTTTCATGCTCAGTGTTCTGGTAGTGAAGAGGAGGAGAGTGACGGGAGAAAAGAGTGAAAGCTTGTGGCAGTTAGCCATGGGGAGAAATGAAGCAAAAGATGTGCACTTGTAACTAAGCCACCTGACCAGGATTATTTGCTAAATTTGGCATCACCCAGTGGGAAGCAGATAGAGTTTGACCAGTTTGTCCTTTGTTTTCTCATTTCTTTTAGCCCTTGGAACTCGTGGTAGAAGAAGGTTTGGTTTGGTTACTTTTGTCTGGTTAGCAGTCTCTAACAAGAAGTCATCAGTTCATGCTTAGCTTGAGAAGCGCTCTCTCTGTGTCTACGTTGGCGTTTCGTGGACGAATCAATTCTCTCTCGCTACTTATTTGATGTCGATTTATGATAGAAAATATAATTATTTTGCATCATAAGTAGTACGCTAGATTTGATTCTTCAAATTCCAGAAAATTGCAAAGAAAATTAAAATGGGGAAAGGGTATGTGATTCCATTAACAATGTTCAAGAACTCTTCTTGAGTTTCAGACCCGATTCAGTAACAGATGATAAGCTTGAAATGCGAAAAACAGCAGAAGAATTTGGTGCAAGGATTTCTTGATTGATTCTGCCTCATTGGCCGTCATGAGACGATTAGAAATGGCAGATGGTGGTTCGTTTGAAGGAGGTGGCTCTGTGGTACTGTTTCTTCTTCCATTGTCAGGAGGAGGAGATGGGGGCAGGAAAAATGGCCTAGAAAGTTTATGATGATGAGTCTCAGTTGACCTGTTTGCCTGAAATGGAACAACAGCTGCATACAGAATGTATGGAAAATGTTGATCAGTAAACAAAGTGACCAAAACCCAGAAACGAGTTCAAAAGGTAGGATTTTTTTTTTATTACCACCGCAGTGATTCAGTGAAGGGACTTTGATGAGACAGTTCGAGAGCTTCAAAGAGAGCGCCGAAGCCAAGAGAGGTGGGGTTGAGGAACCCAGCAGCAAGCACAAGCAGTCGAACCCTGATTTCACAGCTTTGTTGAGGACTTTGCAGCACGAATCCTCGATGGAAAACGGGCCATTCGAGAGCCTGAAACATGGAGCCAGGTCCATTTCCCGGATTGAGCAGTCTTTGGTATGCTTACACAGTACTGTTGGAGTTACAAGGCAGACCACTGTTGTAACAACCAGCAGATGGAAAATAGTAGCCATTTTGTTACTGCTAGAAGACCAAGCAATCAAGGCAAAAATTAGTTCTGTGATATGATCCAAATAGTCTAGAAATTCATATGAACTTTTCTGTTTTGAACATGAGTACTGGTTTGGTTAAAGGGAGGAGGGTTTTGGTAGATTAGGACATGGGTCATACATGTATTGTTGAGTCATGAAGGAAGTATGAAATATGGTACCATGCACCACCAGAATTTGATTTCCTTTTTGAATTTTGTGATGGTGGAAAGTGGAATTGTGATTTGCATGACATTCTGAGTTTCCTAATGGACACTTGAAATTTCTCCATTTGTTGGTCACCTAACTTATATTCTGGTTGGAAGGAGTAGGTCAACAATTAGCATCCAAAAAAAAAGAGTTAGATAGTTCTTCTTATGCAATTAGCAGAAGATAAATAAGGAATTCAAAGAAGTTCAATATTATTATAAATCCATCAAATATATGTTACATCAATAAATTATCACTATGCTTCATGGAGAATCAATCCTCTGCCCGAATACAATACACCAGATACAGAACCCACAAAAGAATACTTCCCATTTGAAAATGAAAACAAAAGCCAAAACTCAAAAGCAATGATGGGACAACAATGAAATTGGAGCAGGCTCTAGCTTAGTAGAACTTGCAGAGTACAAATCCCACTGCAAGCACCACCAGAGATGGAGAGAAGCTGTAAGAGGCTGCTGCTGCTGATGTGTTGATGGTCGGCGTGCTTCCCGTTGTTGATGATGGTGGAGTCAGGTCAGGTGTTGTAGTTCCTGACTCTGGTGAAGGAGTCTCAGGAACAACCGAACCTGAAAAGAAGAGAGACAAGAGACTCCTAGCTAATTAGCATCATATCAACACAAATTTCATAGTTAGGATGTGAATGCACAAGTTTTTGTCTCTCACTTGTAGGAGTGTCAGATGGAGAAATCCCAGGAGCCAGAGACGGTGCTGAGCCTGGAGCAGGAACTGGAGCACCAGCAGCAGCTGCATATACAAGAAAATCATTAAGACCCCTTTTCTGCTAGAACTCGATTTAATCTACAGGCGAAAATTCGATTTGGAATGTGTCGAAAAGAGTGGCAAACCTTTGCATTGGAGAGGGACACCTGGCATGTTGCAGGCTCGGGGGAGGGAGATGGCTAAGGTTCTGTTGATGGGAATCTGGAAAGGAACACTTCCAGTGACCACAAGGCACATGCAGTCCAAGCTAGTTCCGGTTAGGTTCTTGAGCGTGTCGCAGCAGCCTGCTGTCGGCGAGGAGCCGGTGCCCGAGCTGTTTGTGAGGAAGCTCATGCAAGGGGCGAGGGCCGCGATGGCGGTGGATGAGCACGAGGTGGTGATCTGGCCGTGGGCGGGTGATGTCAGGAGGGATAAGGAAGCCACCATGGAAATGAGAAGCAGAAGGGAAGTGGGCTTGAAAGATGCCATTGGGGTTTTGTTGGAAAGGGGGAAAAGCGGGGTTTTGGAAGGTGATTAGGGTTTGTTTGGTGTGTGATTGGATTGGATTGGAAGGGGAAGAATGGGGGAATTTATAGATTGGGATTGATTTCTTGTGGAAGGGGGAAACAGGAGGGAAAGGGGGATGAGGACAGTGGGATTTGGTGTTTGAAGCTCAACTACCTTAACTAACTTGTTTGTGGAAGGAGGGAAGGATTTGTGAAGTGGGCCATGTTGCATATTGTGTAGACCATTGGTTTAGTCGTCGTCGATTTCTCCTCCACTTATTGGATTTGGGCCTTCTTGTCCGTTTGATTTAACAAGCGCACAAGTTATTGGTGTTAGAAATTTCTTATAAAATTACCATCATTGATCTCCAACTTTAATCTAGGCAATTTATGATGCGACCTGTACGATCTCTGACCTATTTGGGGCGAAAATTACCCGACTCGAAATCGCGTGGGCGGTACATGAGTACTGCTTCACATATATCCCGCCCTATCCATCCTGATCTCAACTCGTTCTATCATGACTCACATTAATATATACTTTTATTAAGACCGAGTCAACTCGTTCTATCCACTCTGATCTCTAATTTATTTATAAATTGTTTTCTCTGTCTTCTCGTAAAAATTAAATATAGACATTCTTTTCTTCAAATAATTTATAAGAATACATCGACTCGCTCCATACTTATGCGGGTATTACTTGATTTGTCTCGAACTTAGTGCAAAATGGATATAAGTTATTGAGGTACCCATCCCGCCCATCCCATTGTCATCACTAATTCTTATGAGTCGAGTCGAGTGTGAGATAGTTAATTTTGCTACTCGCTAGATGGGTATTAGACTTGAATAATTGATACAAAAGCGACCTCTTTATGGCGCTTTACGACTTTAAATAGTCGGTTTAAATTCTCATTTTGGGATGAAAAAATATCTCTTTATGATGCTTTACACCATTAATGATCGGTTACTCGGTTTACATCTCATGTTTTAGACGAAAAATACTAAAATGTCATAATGTCATGGATCAAATTCAATGTGGGAGAGGAGTTTAAAAAGCCAATTATTGAGCTTGTAACCTATTTTCCCATTAATAACGTCCTAAGCCTAAGCATGGTGAACAAAATGAACATTGAAGTGTCCTTTGAGTGGCCTGTAGGATTTTTAATAGCCTCCCCAGTTTTGGGATGAGAGGAATATTAACAACCTATTTATATTAACAACCTATTTATAGTGAGCTCTTAAATGATAAGCCCCAGCTCGCTGAAGCTTGTGGGACAGAGCTCACAACTAATAAAACCTCGGCCCCGACTGTGAATTTCAGTCTCCGGTGGCGACATGTTATGCTTTCTGACCACCCCCAAACCCACGTTCTCCTATATGTTTGCGTATTGTGGAGAATCTGGAAGTCTCGAAATAAGGTGGTATTTGAGCATTATTAGCCTCATGCCCAGCCTCTAGCTCGTCAATGTTTTTTCCAAGTCTGCGAAGTCTCTTCCTCTCTCCCTCCGGTACCCGTCCCTCCCCTTCAGCCCTCAAGCTCCCGCCTCTCCTCCTGGATCCCTCCTCATGTTGGCTATCTGAAGATCATCTTTGATGCTACGGTTCGTGCTTGCGGTTGCTCGTCTGGACTTGTGGTTCGTGGAACAGACGGGCATGTGGCGTTGGCAGTAGGGTTCCAGCACCCAGGCATTGTTGACCTCTACCTCGCAGAACTCTTGCAGCTCGAGACGCTATCTCCCTCTTGGTCTCCAAGTCCCTTCTTTGTGTCATCATCGAAGGTGATTTTGAAGTGGTGATTCGTCAGCTTCGCCAGGGCTTTTCTTCAAATTCCCTCGGAGGTTCGGTGCTACGTGATTGCTTCTAGCTCCTGTCTTCAGTTTCTGTTTCCTTAGAGTTTAGGGCAGTTCCTAGAACTGCTAACGGGGTTGCCCATAGAGTGGCGCAGAAAGCCCTGTTACTTACTCCTCTTAAGATCGGTTCCTTCGGGTGGCTTTACTGATATATTGGTTTGGGAGGGTTTTGGGTAGATTGTATAGTTTTTTCTCTCTTGACATTTCTTGGAAAAAAAATATATGGTTGAACAACATACTCCGAGGTTATCCCTAGAAAATGACATGCTTCGCGGTGAGCTGCAAATTTCTTCTAACGACCAAATTTAATATTCTGTTATATTGAATTTGAAGATATAGTCTTACGTATTTATATACTGAACGAACGCCATTGCCTTGACATCTGATTACTGGTTACTAACTTCACTTGCACACCTACAAAGCAACGTGTTCACCCACATTACCACGCAACAATGCTCTTTAATAATGTTTGGAACTTCCTTGCAAGCCCAGGAGATTAGAAGCTACAAGCTAGCTAGGAGAACAAAAATTTATTTGGGTTCCAACTTCACCTGCTCCCACCCATGACTTAGTACCATATTATTGTGATGTGGCAAACGAAACTGCTGATTGGATCGTTGACTTAATTTCATGTCAATTAAAAAAAATTAAAAAAATAAATAATTAACCCAATTCTGGGAGCTCCTCATCAAGGTTATGTCTTCCGAAATGAACCCAATTCCGCACCAGCCGCAACCAGATAGCGCATTTTGGGTTCTCTGCAATGGAGATAGCAGATTGTCACAGTAGATGCTGACAGCTTGTGGATGAGAAACTTGAGAGTAACGAAGCAGGTAAAGGATCCCTTGTTACTTTGCATGTTGTGTGGGCTAAAGCTCTATACTCTGCTTCACATGATGATATGGATATTGTATTTTTTTTTTATACTTTTACTGAAGATCTAGACATTGCCAAGATACACACAAGAACCATTGATGGATCTCCTCCTATCTATACAAGGAGCCCAATCCGAGTCATTGTAGGCTTTGAGATGCAGAGGTAATGAGGAAGGGAAGAACAAACGTGGTGTAGGAACGGATTTGAGATAATTTAGGATTTCGAGTACAACCTCTAACCTCGTTGATTAGGATTCTACATGTATTGACTCACTTGTTGAATGGTATAACTTATGTCAAGTCAAGTAATGGTGAGGTAGATATGTTTTCATGCCAGTATCATATAAGCTCAGGATATATATGACGAGTTCTACGGTACTCAGGGTGAAATTCGGAGTACCGCATATCTTGAGTATGAAAATGCTATCTATATCTTGAATTGATTGATCTTTTAGACATGATGCTATACTCTAACCCTTAAAGATCAAAATCTAGGTCTTAGTTCTCTAAATCTTATACCTCAAGATCAATTTAATTAGAAACAAGAATCGACGGCTATGATTCGTCCAAATATAGGAAAAAAGATGAATGCTCCATCTTATGTTTATAGTTTATGATTTAGATAATTATGGCCTAGGGTGAAGAATTTGATGATGCGGAAGATGAAACGAACACAGAACACAAGATTTTACGTGGTATCCTCGATCGATTGATTGATCGAGACTAATCCACGGTGAGCTCATAAGAGCTCACGGCTGATCTCTTATTAGGATTACATCTTTACGGCTTGCTTACGACATGACCGTAGCTAAGCTTTTATAGATATAGACTTAGGGTTAAAACCCTAATGACAACCAAGTTTCCTTCTTTTACTTGAACAAGGAAAACTAGGGACTTGTAGGACAAGGAATTAATTACTTTTTGACTAAGTAATTAATATCCTCAACACTCCCCCTCAAGCGAAGACATGAATGACAAGAATGTCGAGCTTGAAAAAGGAAATGTGACGAACAAGCATGACAAGCTTGAACAACATAACTCGAGATGAATAACAACTCAGACGAGGTTGATTTGGAGACGACTGACTCTCTCCCTTGAACAACCTGATGAAGATGGTTGACTGCATCTTCTTGAATGTCGCGACGGAGACGGTTGATTGCGTCTCTTGAACGACCTGACGGAGACGGTTGACTGCGTCTCTTGAATGACCTGACGGAGACGATTGACTACGTCTATCCGTATGATATGGTGGAGATGGTTGACTGCATCTCTTGAATGACCTGACGGAGACGATTGACTACGTCTATCCGTATGATATGGTGGAGATGGTTGACTGCATCTCCTGTACGATTTGACTCCCTATTCTCCCCCTCAAGCTGGAGCATGAACAACGTGAATACCCAGCTTGAAAGTGAAAATGGTAAAGACTGAATATTACCTGCTTGTAAACGCCGAGGGGACGATCTCTTCTTTGATCGTGACTGCCTCGCTTGATGGCTTGAAAAAATTTGTTGGCGAAAGCTATATCTCCCCAACACTAGCAATTGAAGGGACGACCATTGCAGGTCGTGACTGTCATCAATGCCATGACTTGAATCGATGTTGGTGAAGATCTCGATGAAGATGAATTGACAGGACATTTCTTTTGTCAATTTTGTCCACCGTAGTCAAGCTGGCAAGCTTTAATTCCAAACAACTTGACCATGAAATCAAAGCAGCCAAATATTCCAACTTGGCTCAAAAGTGCAGCAACAAACTTCAACGTAACAAGGCTTTTGGACAAGATTCGGGAAAAGTCTCCGAAGAGGACGATGATATTGGTGGCATATACTGGCTATAGACCGATTCCTTCCCGGCGAAGCGGCGATGCAGACGCAAAACTCCGTTTGGACGGAAAAGCCAACTCCGGTACCCCAAACTGAATTGGCTAAGCAGCAGCTGGGAGTAGCCTTGACATTAGCGATGACTGAATTGGGCTGAATTTCAACAAAATTCTTTGGAGATGATGACCTGACCGAATCATACAACTCGACTACTGAAAGGACCAAGTCTTGCTCTATCAAGCTAACTGATATAGCGAGCAGGTCTTCGGAAACATGATACTTGGGCGAAACTGACTGGGAAATCAAACCTCGACGATGGACTGAGCCGACGAACGACAGTGACTGGACGGAGTGACGGTGGGAGGATTTCTTTGACCGATGATGAGACTTTGTTTGCTGACGATTCACGACGGAACCGGACACCCGACTGGAGATTCGATTCATGGAATTGATGAAGACGACCTTTCCACAACGCCAACAAAATTTCTGGACTAACTTGAGCGGGAGACGGAGATCGACGGGACGATAGGAACTGAACAGCCGCAAGGCCACGACTGAGCTTGAGTTGACTAGGGACAGCGACACGCTCTGCGGCGGGAAGGCTTGACTGGCCGGAGATTCTTGACAGGTTGATTGAAGTCAACATTGACTCTTCTTTCAACGACAACCATGACTATCGACGGGACATCGGGATGATGTTGGAGAGACGTCAACATTGAGTTGATTGCCGGCGGTGGCTACTGTGAAGGTAGTTTTTGAAATTGACTGATGACGGCAATTGACGATTGACGACATCAGGGACGGCGGATCCCATCGACCTCAGTGCGGACTCGTCGGACATGACGGGGACAACGCAGAAGAACCAAAACGAGGGCGGAAGCGCAAACCCTAACAATGGACCGAGGTTAGCTCTGATACCATGAAGAATTTGATGATGCGGAAGATGAAACGAACACAGAACACAAGATTTTACGTGGTATCCTCGATCGATTGATTGATCGAGACTAATCCACGGTGAGCTCATAAGAGCTCACGACTGATCTCTTATTAGGATTACATCTTTACGGCTTGCTTACGACATGACCGTAGCTAAGCTTTTATAGATATAGACTTAGGGTTAAAACCCTAATGACAACCAAGTTTCCTTCTTTTACTTGAACAAGGAAAACTAGGGACTTGTAGGACAAGGAATTAATTACTTTTTGACTAAGTAATTAATATCCTCAACATAGGGTTCACTCATTAAGGGTTAGGGTATAGTATCAACTGTCAAGCCCAAAAATTCTGTTAATTCAAGGTCTAGATAGTGTAAGTTGGACTATAAGTTACATCTTACATCTTATCAGAAATGGATAATCATGATAAGATGTAAGATGTAACTTGTAGTCCATAGGGTTGAGAGTGGTTAATAATGTAATAAGTCTGGTTCAACATTAATTTCCCATGTATATTTCTTTGAGAAAAATGCATACCAGTTGTGCTCTTGTGCTCCTTTCCACTTCAAATCTCTAAGAAATTATTCTGATTTTCCATGTCTTCGATGTTGAATGTTTTGATAACTTTTTAATTTTTTGAATTTTGGTTCATATTTTATATTAGAAATACTTTTTTCTTAATTTTACATGATCTCTTATATTAAAAAATACTTTTAATAGTTTTCAACCAAATACTCTAACTTCTTTTTTGTGAAAAATACTTTCCTAAAAGGCCAAGACAGAAGCTACTTCTTCAATAGATGTTGTATTTTATGTAACAATTGTAGAATAGTATGGCCGTACGTATTTTATCCGTTTAAAACTTTCGCAATAGTTGTTATGTTTACGGGTGACTACTTCGATGCACTCACTTTTTTGGTGCACTCAGTGCACCCAACTCTAAAAATGTCCATAATACATCAAATTTTAAACTTTAATTAGTACAATTAATCTAATATGATGATATGACATAGAATCATAACAAATCAATCTATTACCCTAACCCCTTAACTTTCAATTTTGAATCACAACCCAAAATTCCAAATTGTAAACCTAAACCCTAACCCTAAAATCCCTAAATCCTTCGGATTAAAGTAAATTTTGAATGATTTATTCAAATTCATGTGCTTCTTGTTCATAGTATCATAATCAACAATTGATACCGTTTTGACATGAATCGCATGCTCAGAATGACAATTATGAGGCGGATGCACTGAGTGCACCCGAAAAAGTGGGTGCACCGAATACGCCACCTATGTTTACGTAACAATTATAGAATAGTATTATGTAAGACTTCTGCAATAGATGTTATTTTTACGTAAATACTCCGTTTAATACACGTATATATTACCGTAGGTATTTTATCCGTTTAAAACTTTCATATCTGTATTATTGTCAAGCCGTTTCATTTTCTCTCGTTCATTAGATGAATCCTATACTAAACACATATATAAATATAACCCATATAACCAGCGGCGGATGCAGGGGAGGGCCACACTGGGCCCGGGCCCAGCCCTCCCCCTGGAAAAAGCAACATGAGCTACTCATTTCATATGGGCCAATTTACATTTTCTTTACTTTTTTGTGCCGGGTACCAAGCCCAATTTAGCTGAGACTTTGTATGGGTTTCTCCATCCAAACCCGACAAAAAGATAATAAGTGTGGTACAGTTATTATCTTTTAAATATTTGAATCCACCCTATGGTTGAATTTTTTTTTCTCAATGCATGCATGTACCACTGTCAGTGTTTAGCTTTCCAAATAAATAGGAAGTACGAACGACTTTACATAAGTTGTAGCGTATTGGTAAATGATTTTTCTGTAAACTAAGATATTTGGAGTTCAATTTCATATATGCTTATGTAGATGTATTTTTTGCACGGTCAGAATACCCTAGCTTGGCCTATGCTCAAGCATTTCAACTCTTTGGCCATTCGTATCCATCAAACTGGTATATAGGTTCTGAAATCATGAATTGAGAGAATTGTGAATAAATAAAAAAAAATCCAACCCCGTTGAAATTCGTTGCAATCCTGGCATGAGACACAAACATATATAGGTAAATAGAATAATAGAATGTGGCGCGACATGAATTTCTTCCTAATTGCCTAATTATTTTCTTTGAGATATAGTATGTTATAGGCATGGACGAATACTCAATTATGATGAGTTTGTTAAATTAAAAGAACGTAGTGTACAATTGACATTGTACTGAAAAATATATTTATTATATACTTTTGTTTAAGATATCTATTTTTTTTATTCAAACGTGGCCCAGTGCTCTTTTATATCCTGGATCCGCCGCTGCATATAACACGTACGTTTAGTATATGTATTTAATTAATTAAATTGCTAAGTTAACTATTATTTATACATTAATATATTTTTAAAATAATTAAATTATATATTTTTAAAATATTAATGTACCATTAAGCATACCGTTAATTTGGAGACGAAGTAAAATACATGCGCATATTTTATACATAACTTATTCATACCATATTTTACTAACTATATTGAGTATATATTAAGTTACATAAAGTGCAACGACATAATGAAAGTCTTACGTAACACGATTCTACAGTTGTTACATAAGGCTAACAACGTTCATAATCGTTACTTAATGACTATTAGATTTTACGTAACCCAGCCTATAATACTTGTTATACCATATTAAAAAAAAATTGAAATTCTAATAACTTCAACGCCGGGTAGGAATTCCCTAAATTCAATTATTGAAAAACATCGGTCTGTCTTCCTGCCTACGTGAGCGATGAGGCTGATCGTCGCAATAATCCACAAGCTAGACAAGGGCCGGCAACCTCTCCCCAGATTTCCAACACAGAAAAACACCACCTGGCATTCACCCATGCAATGCAAAGTCTGCCTCTACGACAATTTCAACAAAATAGCCCACAAACGGATTTCTTTGTAGCAATTACCAAAGTCGCATCTTTGGACCGTTCCCGGTGTTCATATCCTCCCTGGCCGCGACAAATAATTTTCAACCTCCCGCTGACTCCTTCTTCCGCCATTACCTCCCTATATATCCACCACCACTCTTATCAAAACTTTATTCCAAACTTCTCTGCTACAATCTCCAACACAAAACAATGGCTGCCACAAGAAACGCAGCAGCACTGAGCATGGCCATCGTGCTGCTCACCGTGCAGCTTCTATGGGCCGGTGGATCGATGGCCCAGTCGTCAGACTGCACGCCCTTGCTCCTCGGCCTGCAGCCCTGCCTCCCTTACATCACCGGCAACACCTCCACTCCGGCGAAGACTTGCTGCACGCAGCTGGCCAACGTCGTCAAGGTATCGCCCACGTGCTTGTGCCAGCTCCTCGATGGCTCGTTTGGCGTCTCCGGCATCAACCGGACGCGGGCTCTGGAGTTGCCTGCTGCCTGTAACGTCCAGACTCCGCCTGCAAGCACCTGCGATTGTAAGAAGTTAAACTTGAGTGTCAAAAACCAGTTGATCCCAATAATTCGAGTTGTTAAGAGAGATTCAATAATAGATCTTACATCATATACTAACAGCTCGCTGTCTCCTCGCTTTTTGTGATTACTTATTATCTGGTGAATTTCGCACATTGGTTTTTTTTGCTGACTTTGAACAATGAACTTCTGCCTGCCGTGCAGCTGCTTCCCCAAGTGCGTCCCCTGGAGAGATTCCATTACCAGCCACTCCGAGTTCTCCTGCAGGTAGGCAGTGATGTTTTTCCTCCCCTAACTGCAAGTGAATATTCTTCTCCCCTTCTCTGAGGTTAACTCTTTGATCCTTTGGAATGGAATTGTGTGCAGAAGGATCAGCAGGTGTGCCTGGAACTGGGAGCTCGGATGGGAGCTCAATCAAGGTGTCAACTTCTCTGCTGCTCTTCTCCTTCTTCTTCATCGCGGCAGGCTCGTGTTGTTCTTCTGGATCCATGAGACACTGATGTTCTTCCAGATGATCAGAAGGCTTTCAGCCATCACTACATTATCAATATATTAACTCTGTTTCTGAACCATGAGCGAGATTAGAAGTGTTCAATATAAATGAGAAAGCTGAATCCGGCAATGGTTACTTATTTCGTCTCCGCTACCATTAGCAACATGCGGTGTCTCTTTGCTTTATCAAGCCACCAAAATTTGATCAAGTATGAATGACTAACCTGTGAAGTAGTGAATTCACGTCTTGATTGATATCGTCTCTGTGCTAAGACACAAGCGTTCTAGATTGCTCAAATACAAGAAATAAGGTCGGTGTGTAATTTTGATAAATAGGGTCCATCAACAGTTGGTAAAAATACTTTGTCAAATAAAAAATAAAAAAACAGTTGGTAAAAATGCATAAGAAGAATACACGGCTGCCAAAATAAACACTTCCCCCGTCCTGATGATTTTCAACCTCACCTCATAGCCGCTGACTCGTTCTTCCGCCATTAACTCCCTCCCTATATATAACCCTTTTAAAACCCCCCAACCAACAAACATTCCCCTATGATCCAGTTTTCACCACTCCACAAAAAAAAAATCACTTTCTTCCAAATTCTCTGGAAACTCTGTAACAATGGCTGCCACAAGAACCGGAGCATTGAATATGGGCATCGTGTTGCTTACCATGCAGCTTCTATGGCCTGGTGGATCCAGGGCTCAGTCGCCAGACTGCTCGACCGCGCTCACCACCTTGACCCCCTGCCTCCCATATATCACCGACAAATCCTCCACCCCCGAGGAGAATTGCTGCACCAAGCTGAAAGATGTTGTCAGCTCATCGCCGCTGTGCTTGTGCCAGGTCGTCGATGGCTCGTTTGGCGTCTCTGGTATCAACCGAACACGGGCTATGGAGCTGCCTGCTGCTTGTAATCTGCAGACTCCACCTGCGAGCAGATGCAATGGTAAGAAGCCGAGCTTGGCCTCACCTCTCTTCATTGAACACTTGAAAAACGGTTTGCTAACTTTGAACAATAACCTTCTGTCTGCAGCTACTTCCCCTTCGGCAAGCCCCCTAACAGCCACTCCCAGTTCTCCAGGTAGGCAGAGATGCTTTTCCCCCAACTGCAAGTGTATGTTCTTTTCCCCTTCTCTCAGCTAACTCTTTCTTCCTTTGGAATGAATTGTTTGCAGAAGTATCAGGGAGTGTGCCCGCAACTGCTAGCTCAGATGGGAGCTCAATCAAGGCGTCATCGTCTTTGCTGCTCCTCTTCTTCTTCATCATTGCAGCATCATATTGCTCTTCTGCCTCCATGATATACTAATGGTCTCCCTGATCAGACAGCTTTCAGCCATTACATGTATTACCATATAACGTATGCTCCGGATTGAATAATTGAGGTACTGTTCTCAGGAGTGTGAGCTAATTGTGTTTTTGAATCATGTACGAGATTAGAAGTTCACATATTTATACGAGGAAGCTAATTCAGTATTTCTACTCCGCCAACATGAGCATATACTGCTGTTTGATAATTTGCTGTTTCTTGCTTGTTAAGCGACTGAAATGCATAAAGTATGACTGATTAACCTGCGAAGTGGTGAATTACTATCTTGTTGTGCTAAAGATAAAATCCTACAATAAAAGGAGAGAAAAGATAAAACAGATTCCACCAGTTCGTTAGCAATATGATCAACCTATCTAACACCACAAGCAACCTTGGTAAAGAAGGGAAAACAGGGAGATGGAGTAAGGAACCCACCTCTAGCAATGCAACCAAGTGATTGCCATTGGAAGAGATTGATAAACACAATGACATCTCTCCTCGATGACAAATCCACATGACAGGAGGCAGCTTCTGAAATCGTCTCTGTTCTAAATAAGATTGAAAGCGAATATTGCAATCAATGTGCTGAGACATATAGTTCCAGATTGCTCAAAGACATGAAATCAGATCAGTGTCTAACTTTGCTAAGTAGGGAAAATCACACAAAGTTGGTAAAAAGACAACAATTGTAGCTGAAGTGAAGAGGACTTGGCTGCACTGTGTCCCAGTAAACAAGTACAGTAGAATTCAGATTACCTTGTGATGGCATGAATCTTGACTTCATAGTTCAAATGGCAAGTAGAGACTACATACAGTTCGCGAATTCAACCAGGAAATTAACCAACGTTCTAATCAACCATTGTAGGGCTATGTATCTAACTAGAAGTGTCCCCATACAGTTAGATCGAGGATCACTCTACCCCCTGATAAATAACCTCGGCCTCAAGTTAGATTAAACATTGTATGCACCAATCGCTTCTAATGATTTTTTCCGATGAAGTAGCCGCTGCCTCATAATCATAGCATTTCACTAATGTCAAGCCAATCCTTATGTGCCTGGAGCTTCCATGCAGTTAGGGATCCAAACATCACAGATGGGGATAAGAGTTGCCCCAAAGGATAACTTGAGAAAAAAGCTCTAGTGAGTATACACTGCAAACCAATTCCAGTGTTCAAACGCAAAGCACCATGGATTTTACTCTACTGTGATCTGTTCCTGAAGCGACAGTACGAGCCAATGTCTCATGCAACTTTATATTCAGGCATAAACATGGGCACAGGATCCACCCCCACAAAGCACACCTCAAATAAGCATCAATTGCATTCCGACATTCGTAAATGGGGAAAACTACAGCTAGTAATCACCAGAGCTCACACATATCTCGATTACTATATGTTTTACACAACAAAGATGCGATCATGCGAACTTTCAGCATTGATGCACCTTTTTCGAGAATGTGAGATTGAATGCAGGAATTCTTCCATTCTGTCCCACACCTCCAATGCAGCTGCCCTGTTCTGATGCCTCTAGTTCTTACTAATCTGCAAGTTCAATTTTTGTACAGTGCCATTGTCAAGCCACAATGTAGAAGTAAACAGAGATGCTTCGAACGAAGAACAGCTCACCGAGTTAATCTTTACATTCCACTATTAAACCGTTTTTGCAGACTCTATGCTGTCATCTTACAATCGCGTGAAGAGACCAATAACTACTTTACCAATAATAAGCACAACAAGGTTAGCAAAAATCTCTACCTGATCCTTGTAAGGCCAATCCTTGAACTGCCATTCCTTCCTCAACACCAAAACCGCCACAACCCGGTCCCAATCATCAGACTTTAGGGCAGAAGGTTTATCCCTAACCTCATAAGCAGTCATCACCTTGCTCCTATCAGTACTAAACTTCTTTTGCACAGTCACACAAGCTGGCTTCGCCCCTTTCATTTGCTTCACCTTCACATCCGGAGGTATGTACACCCCATCCTCTAGAAACTCTTTCACATTGTAAATCGTTATCAAAGTCTGGAACGCACTCCTTCCCCAATTTTTCCCTCTTAGGTTCGGCTTCATCTCTGAATTGTAACCACCTCATATCGTCGCCATAGCCAGCCCCTTGTCATCAATCAATCTGCTCTTCACGACCTAGATTTCTAGCCGAATTAGGGTTTTGCTTTTGCGGCAGCAGGTATGATGGAGGGAAAACAATGGCGTCGGAATGGGTGATTACCCCCTTCAATTAGTCGAGAAACGGCCTGCGGTCGTAGGAAACGCCATGTGCGTGGCAGCTCCGGAGGTAGTCGGTGTGTTTAAGATTCGCGCACTGAAGTAAATGGACCAGCGTTTCAAGGGTTGCTTGGTTTAGAGCTCTCTAGTAGGGTTGAATATGCCGCCGGCGACAATGTTGGGAGGTTGATGACGGAGTTGCCGTCACGCTGAGCTAACCGGCGCTATTTGGAACCGAAGGGGAGAATCGGAGGAGAAAAAATCTATTATTTTATAAATAGCGAGACAGTGATCCCCCAGGGGAGAAAACAGAGCATCTTACAAACTGCAATTCTCAACGTCGCTACACAAAATGCTGAACATCACCATATCCCGACTCCTACCCTTGAAAACCACATATCTCCTCAGCAAACCTTCCCTGTAAAACCCAGCTTTCTCCAAAACCCTCTGCGACCCAACATTCTCCACATCCACCAAACCCTCAACCCGCTCCAGCTCCGGCCCCCACTCCTCAAACACCGCCTTCACCGCCATCTTCACCGCCTTGGTCGCGATCCCTTTCCCCCAATGTTCCCAGGCCAGGTTGTACCCGATCTCCCCGCGGCAAGCGTCGTTCCCGGAGTTCTTCGTCACCGAAATCGACCCAATCGGCTTGCCGTTGAGGCAGATCGCCCTGAGCCACGGGTGAGGGATGGCCCTGTTTATTATGAAATCGAGCCCTTGTTCTCTTTTGGTGTTGGGCTCCCACGGGCAGAATCGTGCCACTCTCTCGTCGCTAGCCCACACCATGAGATTGTCCACGTCGGAGACTTCCAATGGCCGGAGGGTGATGATTTCTGAAAAGTTGCTGTTTTTCACTTCTGGGTCCATTTTCAATTTGTTAATCTATGCTAAGCATGCATCTTCTTTTTTTCTTCGTCTTGCTGAATAAATAGGGGATGAATGAATACAAAGTGGGAATTGCTTGGAAATTGGGTAGTAAGTAGTAACCCGGTCATAGTTCGGATTAAAGACATTAACAAGTAATCAAATGGCACCTTGGGCCACAAGAAAATTTGAATTTTGTACCACTAAAATATGATTTCGTTAGCTTGTTCTATGCAACTTCTGAAATTTTTGTTGAATTCTACAACTTAAACATGAATGATAGTATATTATTTGAAATAAAAGTAAGAAATCTATGTAAAGGACGTCGAGCGCGAGACCAATGGACACTTCTTTGTGTTCTGTTTTGCTGATTTAGGCTGAGAAGATCTCCCGTTATCTCAATCGTCACGAACAGAGGACAAAGCTCAGCCAAGAAAGGAGTTCAATCGATGAACTAGAGAACCACTCTCTGGTTTGCGTTTTGGCTAGGGATACTTGCGTACAAAAGGAATTGGGCTCAAAGCCCACTATTGCTTTTACTTACTCTTTCACCTGCACACTTAATTTATTGAAATTAGCTCAAACCAAAACGTAGAGTTCACTTACCTGAAGCTCCCCGTTTTGATAACACGTCTCACCCTTCCTTTCCTTTTGTTTTCGATTCAACACCCTGCCCTGCTGTTTGACTTCAAACCCAGAAATCCAGAACCAAGAACACGATAAGAACAGAGCGAATAGCACAACTCAAAACACACCAATTTTTACGTGGTTTCCGACGTTGGGAGATTAACGATCCCAACGTCGACTATTCCACGGTCTGAGAATCACTTCTTGTGTTCTCAGACGTTGCACTAGAATATTCTCGATGAAGCTCGGCAATTACAATGAAGATTCAACCCAATCGATCAGCTCCCCGCTTGATCGACAGTTCTTTCCTATCAGCTACCCAGCCGATCGATTACTGGTTTCCCCGAAACCCCAATCCTTACCCAGAACCTCCTATCACAGCTCTGTGCTGACTTTTACTCGCTAAGAGCTTTACAATTCTTCTCTCAATTGTATCGCTCAAACCTTGCTCGCTAAAAGTCTGCCTCATTCTCTATTCCGAACCCTTTAAATACCCATTTCCTTTGTAGCCGTTTGAATCGAACGTTTGAGCTTTCCTTCTTTGCTTCCACCGCAATCACACTTTCCATCTTTGTGGTAGACCAAATAAATCACCAAGGCTGATTCTGTGCGACGATTGCGATGCTGGTCTCAACATTCTCCCCCTTAGTTGAGCAACGTCTTTCCCTGTAATCTTTGCACAAGAACACTACACACAATCGTCATGAAAACACAGTTCTCTCAATCATTAATTAGAAAGCCATATCACAGATATTTGACGAAACTTGAGAAGGTATTATTCCAACACATGCTGCAAACACAGGAAAGGAGAAATAGAAAAAAAAAAAAACTAGACCCAACTTATTCAAGGACTACCACGTCACACAAGACCCAACTTATTCAAGACCTAACACGTCACACACAAGGAAAAAACCTCCCCCTGACACTTAGACTTCTAAAAATCAAAAAGAAAAAAAACTTCTCCAAGACACTTAGACTTCTAAAAGTCAAAAAGAAAAACCTCTCCAAGACACTTAGACTTCTAAAAGTCATACTCTGGATCAGACTCATATTCTGAAATTTCCCCATCGGTAGAATGAGAAAAATTATCAGCCCGAGAGACCTTATCCCCTTCATCCTCTTCAGCTTCTTCCGGTTCTTCAAACTCCTCTGGCTCCAAAGATTCTTCTGCCGTTTTAGCTGCTGCATTTTTGCTGGTGGACATGACTCGAATGCTTTTTCCTGCCGTGGTTGGACGAGTTGGTTCCTCCATCAACTTCCTTTTTCCGGTATCTTTTGTTATTCCTTTCAAACATCTGCGAACAGCAGCGAGGTCAGCTTCGGTGTTGCGAACTTCTTCAGCCCTTTCTCCCCCTTGAGCACTCCGAAGCTTGCGAACACCAACGGATGCATCAACACGTCGAAGAACGTGCTGTGCGCGAAGTGTGTCAAGCACATTAACAGAGGAGGCCTTGTCCTCAAGATCAATCCCAAGACAGCGGAGGTATCGAGAGATCTGGGGAGCAAATGGAAGGTATCCGCCGTTGCGATGATCGCTGTATACCATCATGTGATGGAACATAAGATGCGGATAGCTCAGCTTCTGATACGAGACAGCATTAGACATGATCCAGAGATCGAGGGGAGTGACCGTCGATCGATCGACAGTGCGAGGGAGGAAAAACCGGGTGATGTAAAAGTGCAGCACCTTCAACTCATCAGGAAGACAGCTTACATTTGTAGAGTTAGTTCCAACGGTCTCTATTGAGGATAACCGAGAGATGGCAGCTCGAGGACTGAAGTGATACCGATAAAAGTCATTCTCACTCATTACATCCCGGCCTTCGGTGGACAGGTGCAGCTTCTGGGACAGGAGCTCCACGGTGACGGTGATGGTGTGACCATACACCGTAGAGGTCACAGTCGGTGGACCATGGCCATTGTTTTGCCGCATGTAAGCATAGAAGGTTCGAACTGCCTCTGGACAGTAGGTGAACCTTCTGTTTTCCAGGAGATAGTCCCACCCAAGAGCACTGATCAGCTCCTCGACGCGCAGTTGATAACGATTGAACGTGGCTGGCTCAATCGTATAAGAAGGGATGAGGCGTCTATGGCGGAAGTAGCATAAGTACCGAGGATAATCCCGAGGTTCAGGACAAATATTGTTGGTAAACACTGATGCTCTCGCTGTGATGAGGGACAGCTGAGGATTGAATGCCATGGTGGAATTTAGGAGAGGGGAGCAGACAATGATGGTGAATGAGGAAGAGGGTGAGTGGCAGCAGGGATTAAATAGGCCAGGGTCACAAACACGAGCGGGGAAGGAATCACCAAGAGGCGGCAAGAAGAGATTTGAATGCGAAATCAGAGGGATGTGGGAAGGAACATAGACTAGGAAGAAATCACAGTTAGCATGAAGTGATACCTCAGAATAATTAGTTACCCTAACTATTGTATCCCCTAATTTAAAACAAAATGACTTGCCTTAACTGAGTACACAGCTAATTCACACTGTACAGAGATAAAACTTACCTGCTTTTACCTGTGTCACGAGTTTGCACTGATTATCACTTCTTAATCAAGAATCTGCCAGCATATTCCCAGGCTGTCACGAGAGTTAATGAGAGGCAGTCACCGCCTCCAGTGGAGCTAGCCCCAATTCTCTCCGAATGAGAGAAAAAGGTTCAGCAGCAAGGGGTTTTGTGAAAATATCGGCCCACTGAAATTGGGTAGGAATAAATTCTAACCGAATAATGTTGCTTTCCACTAGTTCACGAATGAAATGAAACCTAATGTCAATATGCTTTGTTCTCGAGTGCTGGATAGGGTTCTTAGCTATATTGATAGCGCTGGTGTTATCACACAGCACAGGCAATTCACTGAACTCCATACCATAGTCTAGAAGTTGGTATTTGATCCACAAAATCTGAGTACAGCACGCACCAGCTGCGACATATTCAGCCTCTGCAGTTGAGAGGGCTACAGAGTTCTGCTTCTTGCTAAACCAAGATACAAGAGATGTGCCTAGAAAATGACAAGCCCCTGAAGTACTTTTCGATCAGTTAAGCTTCCGGCAAAGTCCGAGTCACTGTATCCCACTGGATCTAATCCTGACCCACTAGAGTACCATAGTCCCCAAGACACAGTGCCAGACAAGTATCTGAAGATACGCTTAACTGCTATGAGGTGACTTTCTTTAGGGGAACTTTGGAAGCGGGCGCAGACACATACAGCGAACATGATATCGGGACGACTAGCAGTTAAGTATAACAGGGAACCTATCATTCCTCTGTACAGCTTTTCACTAATACTAGTCCCTGTCTCATCCAAGTCAAGTTTCACATTGGTAGCCATAGGAGTTGAAACAGGTTTCAAATTCCCTAAGTTGAACCGAGTGAGCATGTTGCTAAGGTATTTACTTTGATTAATGAAAATCCCTTTTGAACTTTGGTGAACTTGAAATCCTAGAAAATAGGTTAACTCTCCCATAAGACTCATTTCAAATGAGTCTTTCATAAGAGTTTCGAATTCAAGGCACATTTCCTGATCTGACGATCCAAAAATAATATCATCTACGTAGACTTGAACTAACAACAACTTGGACTCCCTAGTTTTAGTAAACAGGGTTTTGTCTACCGACCCTCTAGTGAACCCATTACTAATCAAGACATTGCTCAGCTTGTCGTACCAAGCTCTAGGAGCTTGTTTCAACCCGTACAAAGCCTTGTTTAGTTTATAAACATGGTTTGGGTATCTAGAATCCTCAAATCCTGGAGGCTGGGTCACATAAACATCTTCTTTCAAGTCCCCATTCAGAAAAGCGCTTTTCACATCCATTTGGAAAAGTTTAAAACCATTCGAACTAGCAAATGCACAGAGCATCCTAATGGCTTCGAGTCTCGCCACGGGTGCAAAAGACTCTTCAAAATCAATCCCTTCTTCTTGACAATAGCCTTGAGCAACAAGCCTAGATTTATTTCTAATTATGCGACCTATATCATTTGATTTGTTTTTATAAATCCATTTTGTCCCTATGACATTCACACCTTCTGGTTTGGGAACAAGATCCCACACTCTAGCTCTTTCGAACTGATTCATCTCATCATGCATGGATTCTAACCAAAATTCATCACATAAAGCCTCTTCTACACTCTTAGGCTCAATTAGAGATACAAAAGCATTCTGGTTGTTCAGAGTTTTGGAACGGGTTACCATACCTTCGCTGAGCTTACCTATGACCAAGGTGGGTAGATGACGTTTGCTTATATGAGGTGGAGGATGCAATTCTTCAAATTTGGGTTCTGCCTGATCCTTGTTTTCACTTGCTTCTTCCTCTTCTCGCCTTGCGGTAGCCTCCACTTCTGAACTGCTGCTGCTTTTTCCAAGTCCGAAATCATCATCATCTAGTTCTTCTGAAATTTCACTCACAGACTCGTCAAAAATAACATTTATGGACTCCTCAAC